CCAGCTGGAGTGGTCTATTAGACCTTCTTGACTCTGATTTGAGTTAATCATATATGGGCAACCTAGGCTGGTTTATCTCCCTGTGGTCCTTTACCGGCTAAGCTCACAGGATTTACCCGGTGCACACTCTAGCCTCTAGTGGCTGCGGTCTTTCCTCGTCACTTAAAAATAAGGAACAGCTTAGGGCATAACTCCCTGTCCCTAAGTTGAGCTCCAGAAAAGTAAATTGCCAGTATCTACATGGTCAAATACTAGATTGAATTGTAGAAAAGAATTTATTTGTTCACAATGTTAAAATGAAACTTACGCTGTGAAACCTTCATAAACCCTTCCAAACGACCCACTCCCAAGAAAGCCACCTTTTTGCCAGGATTGTATGCTGCAACTGGAAGAGCCACAAGGTGACATGGAATTCACAGTAAATCTGGATGAATCATCATCATTATTGCTATCACTCAGTGAATCTGAAAAATATTCCGGAATGCCGCGATCACCTTCTCTTAAGTTCTCCTCACTTCTCTCTTTGTTAGCCATTGCATTTCCTGCGTCCTGGACTCTTTGAAACCGACCAGAACTGGTTGGGGCACTCAACACTAAACCAGCATCTCCGCCGTCATGAGGAGGACCAAAGCTCCTAATTAAATCGCTGAGATTATCCACAACTAACTCCAGAGGAGCCAGTCTCTGCAACCGACTCCCCTCAAGTCCCCGGCCACCATCTTTATGCCATATATTACTTCTAATTGCACTGGTTACCGTATCCATAGTATCAACTTCATTGAAATTTAAACTATTCATAACCTGAATACTAGCTACAATACTATCGGGCGGCTCATCTGCTACCAAATTTCGACTCCTGGTAAGTCTAGGCCCCCCGACGCTACCCGAGAGCGACCACTTTCTCCGAGCCTCCCAAGCAGCAGCTGGAATCGCGAAATCTTCTAGTGAAAGGCCGAGGAAGCCGCAAATTTGATCTAACTGCCCTTCGGATCCCTCAACCCGGAAGCTCGTACGGTCACACAGCGGTAAAACGTGAAGCGATCGACGAGGCCCTCGAGAAGACCGGTCGTCGAACGAAGACGACGACGACGCCGCCGCCGCGAAGTCGGAAGCCTCGTAATCTATTCCCTTGACGGCGTTTCGCCGGTCAAGTCGTGGCCCCTGTCTCCTCTGCCTCCCATACATCCCGTGCGGCGTAAACCTACTCACCTTTTTCTCTCTCTACTCTCTCTCCATATACATATGTAAGTACCAAAAGTGTAAGAGACTGCGATTTCAGCTGGAACTGCGTGAGCCTCTCTTCCTTTTTCTCTCTCTAAACCCACTGTTTCTCTCTCTGGCATGGCGAGGTGACAGGTATGGAGGATTCGCGTTCGCGGTCTTTTGGGTCTTCGTGGTGGAAAAGTTTATTGGACCGTTGATAATGAAAATGAAGAAACCGGGACGACAGTTGCCACGTGGCGATAGGATGCCAAATAAAAACGTAAATGATATTTTAAGTCAGTCAATACTTTTTGTACTTTTCTAGTACCGCTTTTCTAATTAATGTGCCATATAATCAACATCATAGCACACAGTTGACAGTACCAAAAAGCAAAAATAGTACTAATACCATATACCATTGCTTCGAAATGAGTCATAAAATAATTAAAATTTGATTATTGTATTAAAAGATTACAAGTTTTGTTCTTATTCTTGTTAGTATTATTTTTATTTAAATTTGTTATATATGATTTTCTTAGGGTGTGTTTGGTTCATGGGTTTACACATTAATATTGATAATCAAAATCATAGTTAGTGTTTGGTTGACAACCTTTTAAAACACATGCAACTATTAGTCCGGTTGGTCCGATCTTCACTTCACACACTAATTTAAAAGGAGTATAAACGTCACAAGTAAAGTTTCACACTTAATAAGTAGTCAGGATTGCCATGATCGATTCACGACCAAACTCATCTCGAATTCTAAAAAACACTTTGTTTTATATCTCAAAAATTCAACTATATCTTTCATTTGGCAAACAATGGTCTTAAATAGCCATTCCCCATTTGGCAAACAATGGTCTTAAATAGCCATGCCCGCATGGGTAGCTCAACTGGTCATAGAGGTGAAACTTTAGAAGAATGACCAGGGATCAGTCTCACCAGCGGTAGTGTGGGAGCAACCGTGAGCACCGGTCTAGCCTCTATGGTTCATGTTCACTTGAGTCACCATGATTTACATCCTCCCAAATGCTCTGTCGGGCCAGGGTTGGGGTTCAGCCTTTTGAAAAAATGGTCTTAGATAGCCATCCTCCCAAATGCTCTGTCGGGCCGGGATTGGGGTTCACCATTTTGGAAGAATGGTCTTAAATAGTCATTAACAAGTCTATTACAACCACATGAATGAGATAATTATTAAGAATACAATAAACTAATCATAACTAGCAAACTAAGATAAACATAAATAATAATACAATTCTAACCAACTAAGTCTAAAATAATTTTCAAATAATCATGATCATCCTAATTAATTAATTAATTAAACTAATTCTAAAATATTATAACAGTTCACGTTGCCACAACATTTTATTATCCCTACAATTAACTTAATTAAAAAGGGATATCATATCATCTTATTGGTAATCTAATTTTTAAGTTTGGATGAGCACTTTTAGATTTTTGTTTTGATTTTTTTTGGTTCATATTTATATTTTGGATGTCATTATATTAAGATCAATTGTTTTTTTTTTTGTTTTTTTTTTTTGTTTTTTTAAAGCATTTATTCCCATTATAGGGTCATAAAATACCAAATATCAATATTAGTAATCATTCAAATTTACCCTACTACCAAACATGTAAAATACTTATACCAAATGATCATGTGTTTATTGTACTTGATCGTTATTGCAAATATTATGCAATATTCATGTTATTTTTACAATAATATGGTAGCATACCACCTAAGGTCATACATCTTGATGCACAAAGTTTAATCAATGTCGTTAGTTTGGAATTAATAATTAACCATTGTAAATTTGTGTCAAATATAAAAAGACTTCGATATGTTATGATCATTTAGTTAAAATTTAATGATCTAGTTTATTAATTAATTATTATGATTAAATAATGTTACTATAAATAAATAATGTTATTATGAATAATAAGTTATAGGTAAATAAATTATTTAAGAATTTGTATTATTGTACTATATACAAAATATACAAAAATATCATTACAATTTGATGTAATTGATGAATTAGTGTTGATTTGTGTCACTCATCAAAAGCATAAAGAAAACACCAACATATTCTAAATGATGTAAATCAATATCCAAAATCAACAATGTCTATATTAAAAAAAAAAAAAAACTATTCATTATCAATAAATTAAATAAGAGTTAGATTGTATATATTTTTCTCTAATATAAAAATTCTTAATGCTTTAATAAAATATACTTGGTAAATAAATATATAACACTATTTTGTATTATAACTTTGATATTTAATTTAAAATAGTGCACAAAAAATATAATAGACAATGTAGTGAATATAATCAATTGATGAATTTGAATGTAAAGAATTTTTACATTGGAAAAAAATAAAGACAATATAACTAATAAAATTATTTCTCTTAATTAATTTATTGATAACGAATACATTTTTTTTAATAAAGACATTGTAGGGACAATGTAGCGAATATAATCAATTAATGAATTTTAATGTAAAGAATTTTTATATTAGAGAAAAATAAAGATAATGAAATTATTTCTCTTATTTAATTTATTGATAATGAATAATTTTTTTGAATAAAGACATTGTAGACACATAATTCTAAATTAAAGAAATGCGTATGTATTTACATCCTCTCACATCGAGTCAGAGTGTGGGACCCTTTAGGGTTGGGGATTCAACCTTTGGGAGAAGAAATGCGTATGTATTATTATTATTATTTTTTGTAGCTACTAAATTATTATTTAATTTAATAAGAGTAAAATATAGTACTCATTATGCAAACTTTGATTGAGATGAGGTTCGAACAAAAGACATTTCTTATTGAAATCAATGAGTAAGTTAACGATGAACTAATAGAAATTAACGTAAAATATAATATTTAACGAAAAAATTAACGGATAATGATATCTATTAAGGATAAATTAGGAAATAGGACAAATTAAAATCCGATCAATCTGAGCCATTGATTTGATTAAAAAATTTGACCGTCATTTTTTTTACCCATTATAGGCCTAACTCTCCTGGCTCTTAATAGTATGGTAGATTTTACATATAAGTAATAAAGTAATAATTTGTTGGGAAATGAAAGTGACTTGAAATACCTATTTGTGTAATTATTTTTAACAATTCATTAGTCTGTTTAACTGAGATATGAAAAATCACCACTTTTAAAATAATTGAGTAGGTAAATTCGAATACATGAATAATTTAGAGGGAAAAAATGATATAAGCATATAACTCATACGAAAAATATCATTCTTCCTGTCAACAATAAATTGAGGAGTTATTCGCATAACATTTAACAAAATAAAAACAAATATTAAAAACTGATTAGTTGCTTCTTTAACGTCATCCACGTTCAAAGAATAGAGTGACATCATATTATTTAAGTTATAACCGTAACAACTAATTAAACAGTTAATATTATACGTTATAACAATTAACACAATTAAACTGTCACCCGCTATTCATATATTATATTTATATAAGTTATAACCGTAACAACTAATTAAACTTTTAATTGGAGTCTAATGTAATTATTGGAAGAATAAGCAATACTATAAGCACTATGAATATAGGATAATTTTGAGAAGGATAGAGTATACTAAATTGGAAAAAAATTTTTTAAAATGGAGGAGTTGGAATCCTTAACAAATTAGGAAAAAGGGGTTTTATAAACTTTGAACCACACTTTTATGCCCTCCCCTAGTCCCCTCCTACCCCCCCCCCCCCCCCCTCCAAAGACCCCAAGGGGGCCCTACCCTCTACACGCACAAAACAATTTCCATTTTAGTATCTCTCTCCCAGCCTCTAATTTTTCTCTCCTCCTCTCTCCTGCACGTATATATACACACCCACACACACACTGACTCTATATCTACAAAACTCCTCCTTCAACACGGCGCAATCGAAACGGGCGTGCTTTGCTCTCCTGCCTTCTCTCCTCCTCTATATACGAAACTCACAGCGATTGGACTTTTGCCATCACACACGAACACACGAACACACACACACAAACACTCCTGGAATTCCCAAACTCTCTGAATTTCTTGAATTTCCGTCTCCCGGAGGATTGCGCTCCGACCCCGCCGTTGAATCGTTCGTAATTCCTGGTAACGAGAATCAAAACGACTAGGTTTGGCGATACCAAGGTCTGGGTTCGATTCGGATTGTAATTTTATTGAATAGAAATAGATTGGCTATACGATTGTTCTTGATTATTCATTCTGGAAGGCCGGGGTTATTTTTGCGGGGTATTGCTTATCTGGGCATCAAACATTAGTCTACTTTTTGATGGTTATTAGTTCTAGGGTTTTAACTATTTCTGTTTTTTTAAATCAAATCGGTGGTTGGATACTTTGTTTTTCTTTCTATTGAGAATTGGCCTATTGCTGTGTTGGTATGCTGGCGTGTTTTACAAATTTTATTGGGGACTGAAAGGACTATAGAAGCGAGTGAGGAGTTTATTTGTTCCACATCATGGAAGAAATCATTGTCTATTGAACTCGGGATATATAATGCAAGGAGAGGAATAGCCTTATAGCCTTGGTGACAGTGTAAAGAACTTGGATTAATATTGCCAAGACACCAATATATTGGTGGCTAGTCTTAAGTGTTAATTTGGTGTTAACACGTCGAGGTCAATTTGCTTTTGTATGGAAGCAATTACTTTTGGTGCTTGTCATGGAAAGAAATGAGCCTAAATTAGCACCGGAGTGGTTGAGAAGTGTTGGAAATAAATCGGCTTGCAGTTCTGCTTCCTCATTGCAATTAGGTGAGTTCGGTGGATGTTTAACTGATGTTCTATTTATAAAAGTGTATGATTGTTCATTGTGTTTGAGAATTGAGATATATCCTTTTGTTTTGTAGGTGTTTCTGAAGCATCAAAATTTACGAGAGGTAAGTCATCATCAGTAAATGGTACTGGTTATGATGTAGGGAGGCCGGTTTCTGCTGATCATGCTGCCATATCTCATTTGCAACGGAGCTCCAACAGGAGCAGCTCTGTAAACCAGCGGTCTTACAGTAATTTTGGAAGGAACCGTCATTATAGTAGGGACAGGTATAAGGATAAATATGAGAATTCTGTGCAGCCGCCTGATACATCAAGGAAAAATTCTGGGAGTAGGACTCAGAAGGATGGGTTTAGGCCTTCACAGTTAATGATTTCCGAGAGACATGGTGAGAAGTTGATGAGGAATTCCTGCAATGGTGAAAATAACAGCACAAGTTATTTGAACGGTCTACCTGATAAGTATGGTCTCTCCAACACTCTGCATAGATCTGAATCTGAAAGAGGTTTTTTGTTGAATGGTGCTGAGGGAAGGCAAACGGCTACTGGGATTGGAAGGGTCCGTTCTCCCGGACTGAGTGTTGCAACTCCAAGCACAACAAGATCTCTCCCAGATGTTAAGAATGGTGATAAATGGACATCCCATCTGGCTGAAGTTCCTCCAACAACCCGAAGTGATGGCTCTGGCTGTTCATCTGTTCAACTTGCTACTCCTTTTGCCGCTCCAACTTTGAGCACTGCAGCTGGTGCTGGTTTTAATATGGCTGAAGCAGTGGCAAAAAGTCCTCGCAGTGTTCAGACTACTTCGCAGGTATGGTTGGCATTTGCTTTATGCTATACATCATCTGTTAGAATGTTCTTGTGCTCATGTACTGGTTATTTAATTACAGTTATCTAATGGAAATCAGAGGCTTGAAGACCTAGCAATTAAGCAGTCTAGGATACTAATTCCTGTAACTCCATCTGCACCAAAAATCTCGGTATGAGTTGTTATTCCTGTAACTCCATCTGCAAATAATTTAGTTGCTTAATAGCTCTTTAACCTTTGATGTTTGCTTATCAAGATTCTTTTATTTTATTTTATTTTATTTTTTTAATATCAATTGTTTTGCCATGCCATGGCTTTATTACAACCAATTTAGCTCTACATGGTACTGGCTTGTCATGACTATTGGATGGAGTGTGTGAGACAAAATACTTTAGTTATGGTGTCATGCTGTGCATGTTTAAGTTTATCTCCAAAGAAGTCATGCTTTTTGTGCATCCTCATATAGTATAGTGGCATTAGAGAGCATGGAAATTGCTTAGAAAGATCATTGAGGTTTGGTTATAGAGAGAAAAATTGAAGAGAGCGCGAGGGGTCCATCCCCCCAAAACTCAACACCATACATATGCAGCAATGAAGAGGGGTCCATCCCCCCAAAACTCAACACCATACATATGCAGCAATGAAGAAGAACGAATAAAGGATCTGATATATACATTTTATTTATGCACCCAATTGTTTGTTGAAGCATTTGTTTTTTAACCATGCATAGATTGTTGGCTTCTAAATCATGCTGAAAATTGTAACTTCATGTGGCACCCCAATATGTCTGTCATTTTAAATTTTCACTCGCCTTCCATAGATATTGCATTTATTTGTTGAAGGTAGTCTACTCAATAGGGAGTACACTTTCGCCTTGTAGAGTTTGGGTTTCTTCATTGGACTCTGGCATTGTAGCTTGTCTTGGAGATCCGCCTCTTTAGTGCTATTCGACCATAGGTCTGTCCTTGAAATTTCTGTTTGTGGTGCTCCATAAGAAGTGGCAAACAATTTGATAGCTTTAGCTACCAATATTCCTAAACAACACTAATGATGGGGGTGGAGAATGGGGAGAAAAAAAAGAGAGAAAGGGAAGGGATGGGGAATATTCAGTGAAAAGTTGGAGAAATACAGGGGAGTTGGAATATTTAATGTAAAGTTGGATAAGACCAAATTGTTGATGGGAATTTTATGGGAAGCCCAGATACCCAGATATCTTTTGGTTTGATGACACATGAATGAAAACAACACTATGAAGATATGAAAATTTGAAATAGTGAAAGTCTGCCAGTAGCTGTCATTGTGTAGAAAGCAATGTCATAATATGCTTGAATGTTATTTGATAAACTTATATCTCCATTGCTAGATGCTTCTTAGTTTGATAATGTCTAATCTGTAATGATATCCTTACCAATTGCTTTGCTACTTGGTTGTCCATTTTAAGTGATTTATTGGTTATGTAATCTGTTATGCATGTCCATTTTGGCTTGTTAAGTAATACCGATCATGTTGTTTAACTAATTATCATATCATCATCACATCTTCTAGGAGTATTATCCACTTATTGCAAATTGTTAATTTTAGGCACTGAATCCTTCGGATAAGATCAAGTCTAAGGTCACAGAGCAGCGGCAGCAGCACCATCCCTTGTCACCATCTCATGTTGCAAGCAACTCTGTACGAAGTGGGGGCCTAGGGACTACTGATGCTTTAAAGAAGTCTAGTTTTGGAAAGCTTCATGTCCTCAAGCCGAGTCGAGAGAAGAGTAGTGTTTCTTCGGTTGTGTCTAACTGTTTAGACCCAAACCCAGATACGAAGGGATCAAAACCTATGCTATCTCCAGTTTCTACGATGCAGAGACCACCCTACAACCCAGTTTCTCCTACTGCTGAGCCAAAGCCTTCACGAGCAGTGACCGAGAAGCGACTGTCTTCTCAAGCTCAAAGCCGAAATGATTTCTTCAATCTTATGAGGAAGAAATCTATGGGTGATGCTGGTGCTGCTTCTGATACTGCTGCCCCAGAAGTTTCAACCGAACCTACTACTCAAGCCCAAGATGCCCCATCATTTGATAATCCTAGTGTAATCATGGCGGTAGACAATACCAATGAAGACACTGGCAAAGGCGATGCCATTGATGGACAGAAACAGCTTAAGAATGGTAAGACTCATCCCAGTCCTGATGCCATTTCAGAGGAAGAGGCTGCGTTTCTGCGCTCTTTGGGTTGGGAGGAAAATGCTGATGAGGGTGGTCTCACTGAAGAGGAGATCAGTACATTCTACCGAGACCTAACAAAGGTAACCATAACCGCTGTTCTTTCTGCAAAAAATAACAGGAAACTTTCCTTTGCAGTTCCTTTGAATGCTTATGGTAATGGTAATCTGATTAGCGATGGTTGATAAATTGCGTTTTCTGAATTAACTCTTTATATTTATAGAATTAGAACCACACCAACCTTTTTGCTAGCAAGGTATGGAAATGTGTATCGTGGGTAATACTAAAGTGCCTCCTGTTTTATGCAGTATATAAACTCAAAACTGCCGTTGAAAATTTTAGGAGTACAGCCAAGACTTATGCTGATGCTCAACTCTTGAATGGCGACAGTGGTATCTCTTATTCGCCCCGCTTGACAGGAATTTTGTGAGTCGATGTTTTTCCTGGTCATTTTTGTTGCTTCAATGACATTAGATGGATCGAAGGATGCTAAGAATCTAAGTAGAATAGGAAGCGGTGGTAAGAAGAGCCTTGTTTTCTATGGACATAAAGGTAGAAATAAGCTTTCTATGATCCAATTCTGATTATGGATTTTGGTCTTCTTTTGTTCTTGAAACACAGGATTTTGAAATGCTATTTCAGTTTTATTTAGTTTAGTTGCTAATTTTCTTCTTGGTTTGCCTGTTTTTGGCTCTATTCATTCAAATTTGTAGATTTAATTGATTAATTATTGTTATTTTTTTGTGTGCTTCAAACAAAACATAAAGTCACCTAGGGCATGGATCTCATCACCATTGTGCACTTGGATATTCTCACTTTTCCAAAAAAATGTATATTATATCACAATAAAGGGCATATGATTTTAGAGTTTCTGGTCATGCTTGAGATTGTTTTAATACTTTTATGGGTTTATAAAAGAAGTACTATTTTAATTAAAAATATTATGTCCTGAGGTGGTTTCATACAAAACTTATTCATAATTTTATATAGGTTTTTAGTGATGATGATGGGGAAATGAGCTAGTTGAGAATCTAGTGGTGGTAGTGAAACGATATTCATTTGTGCAATCATTATTGATCATTATTGGTCCACATAGCTGTATGGATTATATTATCAAATAATGTATATTCAGTATATAAACAATGTACTTTTAGTATATTAAAAATGTACATTATATTTACGAAAGTATATTATTTTGTATAATGTAATTTCAGTACATGAATAATGTACTTTTAATATATTAAAAATATACTTTTTGTTATGGTCTACATACACTTTATAGATCATGATTTACACAATAATTTGCCTCATTTGTTAACGTCGGCTATTTGGCTTGCCTTTAGCAAATGCATGGCTTGTGGCCCAACAATTGAGCTTTGTGTGCTTGATTCACTGAATATAAAATAGTGTGTAATTAGATTATTAAACAAGTAAAATATGTCCAATTGTAACATTTTTTTTTAAAGCGTAAGTTTGATCCAGACACTTGTTCAAAATACTACAAATGAGACTCTTGCTCTCATAATTAATTTAAACATTGATGGTCATACTTTTTAAACCATCATATCACACAACTAATACAATTACGAGGTCAAAAGGACACTACCGATTTATATCGCTTTGGTGTAATTTTCTACCTCTGAAATGTTAGTCCAATAAAGAAGTCCAATAAAGATTCAATCAATAAGTGTTGACATATACTTCCATACAAATTTTCTATATATGCAATATTACAAGTACTTTGAATGTAACATTTCAACGAGTAATTCAAAGTTTGATTATCATAACAAAGTTTGAAAACCATTGTAATAATGTATTAAAAATAAAGTGAAAATGTACTATAAAAAAAAAAGTAAAGGAGTTACCGAACATGTCGGGCATTGGAATACCCTAGGAATAGGTAGGCATTCAACATATTTGATGACTTAGAAAATGGGCTAATTAAAGGTCTTTGAATGTTAATAAATAGTATAGTATAGGTTTCTCTGATGTCTACAATATAGATAAGTCGTATTATAGGATAGATGTAGGCCATCCTTATAGCAGAGATTGACCACACTAACACACGTCTTGCTTTATACTTCTCTAGCCCTCATACGGCAATTTATACCGTGCGCCACGGCGCACATAACAATGTGCGTCTAACCACAAAACGCGTGCGTTTCATGCTGATGTCACTCCGTTCGTCTGAACAGATTATGTTTGTATTCACTTAAGAATTTATGTATTATGTTAAACAAACCCTATTATGTGTATTCAGTTAAGAGTTCGTGTATTATGTTAACCAAATCCCATTATGTGTATTCAGTTAAAAGTTTATGTGTATTATGTATTATGTTAGATGTTAGATTATGTGTATTCTATTATGAGTTTATGTGCATTTGAAACAAAAGATTTTTTTTTTTTTTAACAATTTAAAAAAACAACGTCGTTTTGGGAGGCGCGGGGTGCACAGTGGTATGTGCACCTTGGTGCACGGTATAACGATTGCCCTCATACAATATCCGATATCCTATTCACAAAAAATGTTTGACATTCGACTTTGTAGTTTCATTAGGAATATGTTCACTAATTGTAGGAATGAATAAGTTGATTATATAAATTTATTTATATAAAATAAATAAAGGGTTCGAATTATGAGAATATAAATCCAAATGGAAACAGTACAAATAAAGAAAATTCAAATTGTGTGTAACACACATTTTCTTTAAAATTGATTCACCTCCTGAGATTGCTACGAGAGTTGTAGTTGGATAAAAAGAGTTGTACTATGGAGACTCCTAAGTTCTACTTCATCGATTATACTCACTGATGTGGCAAGGACACTCATCTGAGCAAGGAAAAGAAGATTTTATCCCTCGAATTGACACCCACTTAACTAGCACTTAACGTAAGGACCTCAATTGGAAAAAATTTAATAGTCGGATGGTTAAATTGTCCAAATTAAAAGACGGGGATTAAATGTGGAAAATCAACATACTCGGGGGACCATTTTTGGAATTAACTCTTATATACACACACACACACACACACACACACACACACACACACACACATATATATATATATATATATATATATATATATATATATATATATATATATATATATATTATATATATATATATAAAATTGAAGCATTCTCAACTAAAAGCCTAAGCCGACTCTGATACCAAATTGAAGCATGTGCTTCATCTCAACTAAAAGCTTAAACCGATAGTTGAATTGCACATTAATGGTTATATGCTCAACATATACACTAGCTAGTGCAAACTCATTTCTCATTCAAATGTGAGACAAAAGTTACTTCCAAGTTTTTCCATCCTCATTTTCCTAACTCAAATTAAATAATGAGTATAGTTTGACAATCAATTTTTCATTTACCCATTATCCATTTTGAATGTAAAATATATCAATTTCTTTGTCTCGTTTCGAAGAACTCGAATATTCTTTGACCCGATCCAAAATTGAAAGTGGACCTCGCATGTATTTGTCACAAAATAGCCACTTAAAATGTCATTTTTAATTTGCTAAAAATTTTCAACACTTGTGCCGCCTTAGATTGCTAGTTACTAAAATGATTGCACCCTAACCCTAATTAAAGACCCCTATCGCTCTTACTGTACAAATTGATGAATAATATAAATCACGAGATATTTCTCAACTAACCCATAAATTTTGAATACTTAGTTTAATAGTGCACACAATGTAGCCATTCATACCTCCTTAGTTAATTGACAATTTGACATCCAACATGTATCTTCTTCTTCTTCTTTTTTTTTTTTTTTTTTTTTTTTTTTTTTTAATCTTCTTTCAAAATCTTGATATATATGTAAAACAAAATTGTATCATAACATTATATATATTGCAATTTAGTTTTATTTTTAAATTTTAAAAACATTCTTATCAATTGAATTCCAAGTTTGAATTAGTTGAAAAAGGAATTAATGACCATAGTCTTGTTCAAGTTGGGTACCGTCCCTATATGGCCGGCTTGTGAGCTTGTCAAATTCCACCTATGCTTCTTAGGTTTGTCCTTCCAATCTCAAAAAGGCAAACTGAATAAAAATAAGATTGAAATCCTACCTTGATCTTGCAACACATAATAATAATAATAATAATAATAATAATAATAATAATAATAATAATAATAATAATAGTATGTAGTAGTAGTATCAGTGAGAGATTAATTATTATGGTGCCGATAATACACAATACAATCATGTATAAAATACTTTAATTTACAAAAAAATTCATGTTCAATATTTGAATGTGTGCTCCAAGTAAAGTTCGCATTGTGATCCTAACTGGTAAAGGATCACGAAAAGGTAAATATGTCTAAGTTATTCATAGTTGTTTGACTCAAATTGAGAAGGTCAATAAATAATTTTTACAAAAAGTCGAACTGTTAAATTCTATTATCATCGATATCAATTGTACTTAGTAAAAATATATGTGATATATATGACTTTACTGATATTATTGACACTTTAAAAAATCTTTAATAATAATAAGTCAATCAACCAACGTGCAGTGATATAAATAGATTATTTGAGGGTGTGGCTCCTGCACACATATAGAGATATAAATATAACACTAGGTACTAGCTAGTATAACATGGACCAACCCCCAAACCCTAAGGAGGCATTCCCATGTGAGGCAGAATATATTTCTTATTTATACTTGAAAATTAGTAGAAGGTCAAGTTGATGATATTAAAGGTATCATTAACTAAGTTTTGGGTTTGAACTTTGGGAATGGAATTACCTTCAAATGTATGAGGAGGTATTTTCTCAGTATATGTATTTATGGGGCATTTTGTTGCAATGAGAGAATTAAGAGAGAAAAAAATTATAATTTTATGAGAGAGAAATAGTGTGTGAATAAAGTATAGTGTGATTTTAAATTTCAGTGTTTGATTTGCACGAATATAATTATTGAAATTTTTAATTTTGGTGTTTGATATCGATGGAATTTGTAAAGAAATCATAAGTAATATGAAGATCAAAATGCTCATACTTAAATAACAAGTAATTTTGTGTCAAAAGTATAATCCAATTCAGTTGTTATTTGGACACTTTAGATATATTTTTTGGGTGCTACTGACTCTATTTCAATGTAGTAATACGCCTCTACCGAGGCTTGAACTCACAACCTCCCATATAAGAATTTAACTCGGGTGCCATCTGAGCACAAAGTACTTAACAGACACTTTAGATATATATTTGTATCACTATAATATATTTAATAGCTCCAAAAATTACTTAACCATTATATTCAACGTTAAACTTTATAAGCTCACATCCAAAAACTTCATAAAAATAAAACTGCACAACTTAGTTAAATCTAATAAAGTGTTAAGCTTTTTAAATGCTTACATCCAAACAATTATCATAAAATAATGGTAATTTTGTTTCAATGGCATTTTTTTTCTTTCTTTTTTTAAGATTAGAAAAGAGAAGGATAATTTTGTTTCAATTATATTCTTTTTCTTCCCAACCAATGCATAATTGAAATACCACGGGGAGCATGAGATTCTAATTCAATGAAAATTAAGAAATTTCAATTCTGTCCAACCAAACAAAAGAATTTGCTTGCCTTTGGAATTAGATGGGTGTGAAATTCTAATTCCTTCCAACCAAACGTGCTAGTTGTTAAAGTTCTATCCAACATGAAGATAATCAATCTCGATAAACAAAATCATAGTGTGCTTTGAGAAAACATGTGATCTGACCCCCCAAAAAAAAAAAAAAAAAAAGCTAAGCTTTATTTAATTTCCCTCTTTCTTTTTAATCCTAACACGATGAGAGTTTTTGTGACTTTTGATTCCACAAGTTCATGATTTATATGTTTTCCCTATCTTTAGTCTTTTTGGTGAGATTCATCATCCATAATTTGTGATTGACCAAAGCTTTCAAGCAAGATTTAAAAATAATAATAATAAATAAATAAAAGAACATGTCATACGAATGGACATTTTTATCCATACACTTTACTCACTTGCAAGTCGCAACAAAATTTGATGAGATTCCATCTATTGAAAGAGTTAAAAGTGAAAAATAACATAAATTATGTATTTATAATAGCATTTTTTATAATCGTGCACTAATAATGAGAATACCAATAAATTCATATTGGACCAAAAGTAACAAAACTTTTATAAATAAATAACACAACACGGGGACAGTTGTTAACAAATTATGCAATGACATATAGCAATACCCATAAATATACGAAATAAATGAATGGGAACTATAGTCTTTCTATACGAAAGAAAACTAATTAACTAACGATAATTTTCATTATTAATAAAAATAAACCTCTCACTTAGGTCAAGGGGTCTCAAATTTTACCATTTTTGTTAAGCCGTCTTAGGCAGGCTAATAAGCTTTTTAATTACTTAATTGCCGGCCGAATGGTCCTCGTACGGTCTATCATTAACTACTTTGAAAACTTAAGCCTATATACATTGTACTACACAATTTATTTTCTTTCTTTATTAATTTTCATAATTTTACACAAATAGTGAGATTTATCCAATGTTGTTGTGCACTCTTAAGAGTAGTCGTTGCGGGTTTTTCTTGTTTCCCTAAAAAAAAAAAAGTTAAGTCTTTTTTGCCCTTTGGTACTAGGGCACAACTCAACTGATCAACCAATCCAAAATAAGTTCATGAACTTTACTTTGCTAGCGGGTACAATGTGTAAAGTTCGATTGTAAACTAGTTCACATCCTACTATTTACCTCTTCTATCAACATCCAAGGCAGAAATTGAGATTTTAAATTTAAGATTCAAACTTATAAAATACAAATATTTAAAAAATTCTTAATATTAGAGGTTCGGCATGCAATTAATATACGTAGATTAATTATCTATTTGTCACAAGATTAATTATTATTATTATTATTATTATTATTATTATATGCAAATGTATAATCCCTAAGAGAATCAAAAACAAATAAATTATCAGACCTTGGTCAACAACCAGATATATAGTTAAAGAAAGTTGGGATTACTAAGCTAGAATTATTATTATTTATTTATAAATTAATTAATGCTTAACTTTGTTTATAATATTATTTTATTGTATGCATATACATATTATATGATCAAGAATTGAAGATGGATGGGTTGTGGTCCTATTCTCCTATATTTATGGTCATATGGACTGACTGATCCCTATACTTATCAAAGTAATATTAAATAATAAAATAAATATTTTAATTTTGGTTGCTGTTTCTTTAGGATTACACAACCAACGTAAGAATTTGCGGCGGCGACGCTTGCTCCTCAGCTCCCTGCCGCCCCCGGCCCTTGTCTGCTCCATCCCCACAATTAAAAAAGAAATAAATGATAATAATAAAATAGAGTAAATGTAACATGACTCTCGTATATAAAAATTATGAGTTCAATTTTTATCAAGTATAATATAATTCACAAGTTATTACACAAAAGTAGAGAAAATTACACTTTTGGTCCTGTGACTATTGTGGTCTTGTTAATTTGAGTACTTGACTTTAAAAACTAACAATTTAGTCCTGTAACTATGTAATTTTTAACACATTTAGTCCATTTTTAACACATTTAGTCCTCCCGGCTAAATTGCCGGCCAAATGTTGCCGAAAAAACGTAATTATTTTAAAATAGTTTATTTATGGGGGGTAAAATGGACATTGTAAGCTTAAAAAAAAAAAGGGAAAGTTAATTTGTTCTTGTTTTATGCTTCCCTCAATCC